AAAAGAAAAATAATAGCTGCTAGAGTGGCAGTGGCCCTCTTGGAGTGACCCTTAACATGCCTCCTTTTCCCTGGGATTGCTCCAGTAAAACTTGATTAACCTCTGTGGGCACAACTGCCACCCAGTGCCCTGGCACTCCCTGTTTCCTGTAGCATATATCTTGTTCTCTCTTGCGTCACTATCATTTTTATAGAAAACATACTTTGGTATCTTCTTAAGAAATGAAGGCATAAAAAATAAAAGTTTTTGAGGTCTTAGTGTCTAGAAATGTTATGACTGGGTATAGAATTACGTTAGAAATGATTTTCCTTTTAGAATTTTAAAAGCATTTATCTTTACAATTCCCAGTGTTATTGTTTGTGAATCTATGTTGACTCCTGTTCCCTTTGTGTACGAGAAAGAAACTCTCACTTAGAGACACTTCTCTTTGTCACTTAGGGGTCCTACAATTCCGTGTCTGTGGGTCTGGTTTTGCCCATTGCTCGGATACTTGGTAGCTCTTCTTAGTTTTCCAATTCATGGCCTTAAACATGAAGAAATTTTTAAAAATTATTTCTTCAATTTTTTATCTTTCATTTTCTTGATTTTTTTTCCTTTTTAGATGTTCTGTTTGAATTAAGTACCTCTTAGACCAGACTTTAAATTCTTTTCTCCTATTTTCTTTGTCTTTTTGCTGCACTTGGACAGTTTTCCCTGCCCTGTCTTCCGCCCGTTCTGTTGAGTTCTTCATGTCTGCTATGGTATTTTTCATTTCCAATGACTATCGTTTATTACACACACATCATAAATATGTAAAACATCTTGTTCTTGCTTGATGAAAGTACTATTTTCCAGAAGTTTTTAAGGGTTCTTTTTGCCTTGTTCTTCTGTTTTCTTTCCATCTTGCATATTAAAAGTGGTTTTGTAAAAGTGGGGGTTTTTTTGTTTTTTTTTTTTGAGACAGAGTTTCACTTTGTCTCTCTTGGTAAATTGCTGTGGTTTCATAGCTTACAGCAACCTCAGACTCCTGGGCTTAAGCGATTCTCTTGCCTCAGCTTCCCAAGTACCTGGGACTACAGGCACCTGCTACAACTTCCATCTTTTTTTAGAGACAAGGTCTCATTCTGGCTCAGGCTGGTCTCGAACCTGTGAGCTCAGGCAATCCACCCACCTCGGCTTCCCAAGCCGAGATTACAGGTATGAGCCACCACGCCTGGCCTTGTAACACTCATCTTGCCCTATAGTTTTCTCAGTTGTTTGTAAATACTTAGCTGCCTCCTACCATGGGGAAATGGGATCTACAACGCTTGTTGGAAGCTCTGAGTGTTGTGAATGTAGTTATTGATTAGAGCTGCACTATCAGGTGACCTGGGTGGCCTCTTAGGTTATACCTCTGATGTCAGTAGATTCAGAATTGTATTCTGGGACTGATGAGAGTCCTCAGAGAATAGCATCTATCTATTTTACCTGGGATGGAGTGTCCAGGTCTGGCTGCCTAGGTTCTTGGAGTCAAGTGAAGAATGAGAGCTGAGGGAGGGAGGAGAGTTGCTGTATTTGGCATTTGGTACGTATATACTGTCTCTAAATCCCCTTGATGGGGGAGTAGTAGTGGTTTTGTAAAAGGCACAACCCTCGTCTTGTCGTATAGTTCCCATAATAAACCAGCAACAGGGCAGAACCTAATCACCTCAGTGATTAGGGCGCCAGCCCCATATACCAAGGGTAGTGGGTTCGAACCCAACCCCGGCCAAACTACAACAAAAAATAGCCTTGTGTTGTGGCAGGCACCTGTGGCCCCAGATACTTAGGAGACTGAGGCAAGAGAATCGCCTAAGCCCAAGAGCTGGAGGTTGCTGTGAGCTGTGATGCCACAGCACTCTACCAAGGGCAACAAAGTGAGACTCTGTCTCTAAAAAAATTAAATAAGTAAAATTAAATTAAAAAATAAAAAAATAAACCAGCAGCAGGGAGTGGAGGAAGGGAAATTAATGCCCGCTGCTGCTCACAGCCTTCCCTGTCAGCCTCTCTCCCTTTTACTCCCAGTTCAAGAGGAATTTGATGATTTGGCCCTTTCAGTTCTGCTAAGTGAAAAAACTTTATCCTTCAGTTTTCCTGCTTCCAAAACTGTTTTGTCTCTTCGGTTTCTCTCATATTCATAGACATTTTTAATCTCCTTTATTTTATTTTTAATGGGATTAGGGAGAGAGTGAAGTGGACTGCTTTTATTTTGTCCTGATACTTTAACCCATAGATCATTTTTCGTTCTCAAATATATGTCTTTAAAAGGAAGTTTTTGTCTTAATATAGTAATATTTGAGTCCATACTTTTTTATCTTGTTTAAAAAAATTCTTTTCTACTGTGAAGTCATACATATTCTCTTGTAGTGCCTTACACAGTTGGCTGGCTGTCACACCGGTGTGAAAGGCCATCCTTTCTCTGCTGATGGACAGCACCAGTGCTGCCTCCTGTCACGCGCTGTTCCTTCTGAGCTCTTGATTTGGGGTACACTTGCCATCATTGCTTTAGGCCAGTTCCCACACTGGTGAGCAGTTTTCTTACCTTGATCTTTGGTGACGTGGAAGGCAGACTGGCTATGAATTCCACCTCTTGACAGCTTTCTATGTGTAAAATAAAGGCATTTCTACCTGACTGGCTTGGACGACAGAGACTTTAAGAATCACTAGGAAGCTACACATCTTCATTTTCGGATTCACTTGCTTTATTATCAGCTCTTACTGCATCAGAGGTACAAATGGCTGGTGCTGCTATTCTGGATTATTGGACAGACTGTGGAGAAATTTTTAAAAATAGAACTAATGCTGTCATCTTTAAAATGAAACAAAGTAAAAACTGTAATATGGATGTTCCAGACATTCTGTAAATGGATTCTTATGATGAGGTTAAGTCACCTGATCTTAAGTAAACCAAAAAATTACACTATTTTTTATATTTTGTGTTTGTTTCATCATAGGATATATGATTGGATGCCTGAACAGCCAAATATATTCCAAGTGGAGCAGTTGGAACGCCTGAAGCAAGAATTGCCAGAGCTTAAGAGCTGTTTATGTCCCACTGTTAGCCGCTTTGCTCCCTCATCCTTGTGTGGGGACCCTGATATCCATGTGGATGCCAATGGCATTGATAATGTGGAGAATGCTTAGTTTTTGTTGCACAGAGGCCACTTGGGAGCATGCACCACTGGTCTGGGTATTCATTTTTCATCATTGAGCATTGTATATCTATGCCTTTTGGGTTTCTCAGTTCAACGAAGCAATAATGAAGTATTTTACTCTTTCACTACAGTACTTGCAAGAATTTCAAGTATGCTATTTAAATCACTTGGCCAGGTATAATTTCCAGTCAGTCTCTTTATAGTGAGAAAGTGTATTGGTTAGTAAATATTTTAAACGGAACATAAAAATCTATAATGGTAAACAAATGTTCATTTAAAACCTAGCACTTTGCAATTAACTATATAAATAGCTCATATTTACACTTCTTACAGCTCTCCATTTGATCAGGTCTAAAATTTTTAGCACTTGAGGAAAATGACTATGCATAATTATACCTGACCATGGAAAAATAAGTACCTCAAATGCATGCATTTGCACTGGTGATTCCAACTGCACAAAACTTTGTGCCATCTGTGTACATAGGTATTTTTTACATGGACTGACATGCACACATACCATTTTCATTCAGTATGAGCCTTGAGGCTGCTGCCATTTTTCCACTTGACCAAACCAGCCTGGAGGTGAACCTTAAAACTTGTTTCCTGAATCTTTCAGAAGTTGTTTTACATAAATGTTAAAATTTCAAAATGCTGCAGGGTAATTTAATGTGTGAAATATTAGTAAGAAGTATGTATTGCATACTGAGTAGTGTAGATCACAGCATATAAATATAATTCAGTGCATGCTTTGGGTTTTAAGCATGAGATTGTACACGTTTACCGCTAAGTCCTTGCATCTGTGGTGCTAGGTGAGTGTGAGAAGATGTCAAGGACTGCAAATATTTGGTTGCCTAAAAAAAAAGCCTATAGGCATTTTAAATATGCTTAAGTGTCTCTCACTACCTATTACACACCATTGCTTTGTGGGTTTGTTTTGTATGTGTTGTACAGTAGTTAAATCTCATGCAGAAAAATAAATGTCCTGAATTCTCATATTGGTATTCGTTATTGGTTAATGTATATCATGCATGTAATTTATTTAGAAATGTAGATCTTACTAAATGTATATGCATGTTTTGAAGGATTAAACTAAGATTTCTTTCATTAGAGGCAGATTATGTTCACATAACTGTAACTTAAGAACGAATGTTAAATAAAATAATACACATTTATTTTCTTCATTATAAAATGAAATTTTAAGAAGGTGTTACTTTCGTAGAATGATTTTATAATATTTTGAGAAATTGAAGTTCAGTGTCGACTCTAAAGGGGGTGCTTATTTGCATCGACTGCATGTTTTTCATGAGGCAGTTTATTCATGTATCTACATATTGTGGTAGTAGCTGAGAACCTAAGACTTGAAATTACACATTGAACTTTTTTTTTTAAGCTAAGCAATGCAATTTTGGTTAGATCTTAACTGTGTGAAGGATAGACCCTGAAATCCTATGGTATTATTGTATTTGTAACACTGATAATTAATGGTGGTGTCAGCAAGGGTTCTATATACTTTTCCCGTATTGAATGAGATGGTCCAACATTTTGGTGTAAATTAGGCACTTTTAGAAAACTACTGAAAAAGAATGTTTTCTTCAACTGCGGCCTCTTTGTCTAATGCGATTACTGCATCTTCATGGTAACTTGATTAGCCTCAGTGTGCCCTGTAGTCCTCTCTATGCCTTTCTATTTCCAGCTCTACTTTGAAGACTCCACGGCAGAGGGGAAGCAGATCATAAAGGAAAAGAAGGGAGGGAAGACATTGTCAAGTGGGAAATCTGGGGGGAAGTAAAAAAGGAGACGAAAGGATGAAGAAAGGAGGCGGTGGGGTGGCACTCGCGCTTTACTAGGAAGAGCTCACTGTCACTGCTTTTGATGCAGACAGAACTTTTCTGCTCACTTTCTTCCCTGTCTTTTCCTGACCTCATAAAACCAGCGTTAGTAGATGATTAAAACATAACAAGCAGTGGCTCCTTGTTTTTATAGGACTAAGTCCAGACCCTCACCCCTAGCTCTGCTCCATTTCACTGTCCCCGGGCCATCCCTGGACGCCATGCTTCTGTACCACTCCTGTCTGTCCTGTGTCCTCCTCGCTCCTCCCCACTGCTGCCACCTCTCTGCCAAACTCGTTTCTCCTCGAGCCATTGACCGCTCTCCTGAGCCCCTGCTGAAGCTTCTTGCGGAGGGAATCCAGTTCTGTGCCCCGGAGCACCACGTCCAGGCCTTGACCTGGCCGCGTCCCGCGCATCCTGGGTGGGCGTGGCTGATGTTTGGCTCACACGCCAGGCTGTGGACTCTTCAAGGCAGGGACCACGTCATACTCGTTTTTACTTCCACAGGTCATGGAACATAGTAGAAAATGAATGTTGGAAGTACCGAGATGATATAATTTGTATCAAATGTCCTTTTGAATGAAGAGATTGAGTTATGTTCACTAAGAATATAAACTTTGACTTGGCTCACATTTTTAAGATTAGGACGGTGTATTGATGTAAATTTTGAAATGTAGGGGAATAATGTTAAATTATTTATACTTTCTGGAAATCAAGTGAAATGTTTGATAAGATGCCACCGTTGTCCTTTGGTATTTTCTACTCTGGAATTACGTACTGTGAATGGACGCAAATGTGAGGAACTCCGCTCCCTCCTGTGTGAGCGGGGCCACCGCTGGCTTCCTGCCGCCCGTTCACCTCAGTCCCATTGCTCCTGTGACACTTTCTCTTCTGCCCTCCACACTCCAAGCTTACGCCTACCTCAGTACTGCTCTCCCTGTCTGAAATGCCTTCTCTGCCTCTCTCCAGTGTCCCGCTCGGGCCTCCTCCTCCATGAAACCCGCCTCAGCTTTTGATCTGAATCATGAATCATGATGGAAACAAAGGCAGACCGCCTCTAAATCTCACTCTTCCTTTTACAGCTGGGGCAACGGCCCCAGAGGGGTTAACTGACTGACCAGGCTGGGACTGGACTCCGGGTTTGTGGCTCCGAATCCCGTGCTCTCAAACTGCGCTGCCTTCTGCCGCCGCGGCATCTGTGCGCATGTGCTTCCGCGTAGTGCACCTGCTCGCGGGCCTGTTACCCCGAACGAGATTGTACGCTCCTTAAGGGCAGGGACTGCTCTGCAGCTCCAGCGCTCCTGCACTACTCTATTCTTAGTACGAACCAGATAAATAAATGATAGTGGCAACGATCCCGGTTTCCTAGCTCAGGTTGTTTCCTGATAAATGTAAAATGTTGTTGCCATATTGTCTGGAGTGTGCCCACGTGTGTGTGTGTGTGTGTGTGTGTGTGTTTACACATGTTCTCTGCTGAGTTGCATGGAGTCACGTATTTAATGCACTCCCCTAAACCGGTTCTCCTGAACGAGAATTATGACAATAGACTATTGCATTGATTTAAGTGGAAGATAAAGTAGTTTCCCCGAAAGGCCTGGCTGCCCCTCCGAGGGGCAGTGTACTAAATCCTGTAGTCGGTGGACTGGTGGTAGAGAAGGTGCTGCTTTGCATAGGACTTGCATGACCGCAGGGACAGGCTGTCTGACCAGTTGTGATGGACTAGTCTACCTTTCTGCCTGGATTCTTTGTCTACAGCTGACCAAATCCTGTCTTTCCCATTTATTACTGGTTTGGTATTCTAGGTTGATGATGGAGCCCTGCTAAATTAGATTTGGATACAATTGATTTACTCCTTTGCATTTTAGCTTTGGGCCATTTACTTTTTGGATAGAGACCAAAGTTTTCATATTAGAAATATGGTATTTTGGAATTTATGGTTGGAAATTCCTTCAAATGTATTCTCTTAGTGGGCTAAGATAGTTGGAGAAATAAATTTGAGATGTTCAAAGCCCAAGACAGCATATGATTAAGAATATACCATGTAGGCTCAGTGCCTGTGGCTCAAGTGGCTAAGGTGCCAGCCACGTACACCTGAGCTGGTGGGTTCGAATCCAGCCTGGGCCCCCCATGACGGCTGCAACCAAAATATAGCTGGGTGTTGTGGCGGGCGCCTGTAGTCCCAGCTACTTGGGAGGTGGAGGTAGGAGAATCACTTGAGCCCAGGAGTTGAAGGTTGCTGTGAGCTGCGATGCCACAGCACGCTACCCAGGGCATCAGCTTGAGGCTCTGTCTCAAAAAAAAAAGAAAAAAAAAAATATATATATATACACACACACACACCCCCCATACAAGTATGTATTGGAGGAAAGAGGAGAGATGAGTCAGGCATTGTGGGGCTTTCAAGCTCTTACAGATTGGGTTAGAGTAATTGTGAAATAAGTTTGGGCTACAGCCCATGGAGACTCACAGGCCAGGGGCCTATTGGTGGTGTGTTCAGGGGGAATGAAGGAGCCATCCTGTCAGGGGAGAAGGTATTATGAATGCCAGAGAAGCTGGGCGTCTGTGGAGGAGATAAATGTTGTTAATAATTTTTAAGAAGGGAAATAACATGAAAGGCAAGTGTTTTAAAGTAACAAGGAACTAGTGTAAGAATAATAAAAGGAAGGCTATGACTAATCTGTGTAGTCCTCTACTCATCTAGACATGCCTCTCCCTGTCTCTCCAGATGGAAAACCAACGTGGAGGGAAGGGGTAAACCTCCGAAACTTACTGAGAAAGCCAAACAGCAGGATTTCACAGGCCTATTTTGTATTTTCAAATTTATTTTATTTTTTATTTGTTTAATTTAATTTTATATTTTATTTTTTGACAGATTCTCACCTTGTCGCCCTGGGTCGAGTGCAGTGGCATGATCATAGCTCCCAGCAACCTCAGTCTCGGGCTCAAGTGATCCTTTTGCCTCAGCCTCCTGTGTAGCTAGGACTGTGGGTGTGCACCATCACGCCCAGCTTGTTTTTCTCTTTTTAATAGAGTTGAGGTCTTCCCCCTTGTTCAGGCTGGTCTCAAACTCCTAAGCTCAAGTAATTCCACCTCAGCCTCCCAGAGTACCAGGATTACAAGAGTGAGCCATGCTGGCCTGTTTGTTGCATCTTAAATGCAGATCGAGTATTCCTTATCCAAAATGCTTGGGTCCATAAGGTGTTTAGGTTTCAGATTTTGAAATATTTGCATTGTATCCTTAGGGTTGAACATCCCTAACTTGAAAATCTAAAAAGGTCCAGTGAACATTTTCTTTCTTTTTAAAAATTGTTTTGTAGAGATAGAGTCTTACTATGTTGCCCAGGCTGGTCCTCAACAAACTCCTGGCCTCAAGTGGTCCTCCTACCCCAAGTGCCTGGCCGCTGATGAACATTTCTTTTGAGCATTACATTAGCACTCAAAAAGTTTCAGAGTTTGGAGCATTTTGGATTTTCAGATTAGGGATACTTAACCTGTATTAATTAAACTATATTTTTCTTTCTAAGATTTCGAGTTCGTTTTCATGTTCATCTGATTTTTGTTTCATTCCTTTCCATTTTTATCAAATACTTTTCAGGTCTTTTTAAAAAAGAAATAACTTTTATTGACCTCACTGAACACTGTGAACCTGTTCAATTTGATAATCCTTTCAGGCTTTCTGAAGTGAATTCCTGTTTTGATTATTTTATTGGTTTTTTTCTCTGAGCATTGGGCTTCCTCATGTGTTTGGAATTCAGGTGGGTTGAGGGTTATGTTTCTGTTTCTTCCCTTTTCCAACCTCTCTGGTAGTCTGTGGTTGCCTCCCTTGGGAGCTCCAAAGCCTTAATCTACACCCAGGTATATGATTGTACCTGGTAGATAATGCCCAGAGGACACTGGGGACATTGTACTCCACCTTGGAGTCACCAGGTGGCTTTGTTTTGATTCCTCCTCCAAGGAGATTTTTTTTTTTTTTT